AAAAACAACAGTAGAATAAAATTGTAAGACGTCATCAGTTGATGCAGTTTAAGGACACTTGTTCTTCTGTGCAGTCTCACCTGGAGCTCACGTTTCTAGTTCATGCCATCATGACCAAAGATTCTTCAATTAATAGTTTAAAGATGTCCATGAATGCACTGCTAACTGCTCTTCACCCTGATAAAAATCAACATGCATTTAGAATAAGAAACACTTTTACAAAACCAAAAGCTTCACTGTGTTTAGTGATTTATACGTCTACAAAACAGGTTCAGTTTGTAACTGAGAGAGCGGCTCAGTGGTGCTGAATTATATTTCCAATAGAAACACAATTTCATATGTTGTAGTAACAACACACTGCCACAAGATGGCAGCCTAGGCCTACTTTACCATGCTGTTCCAGTAAAAAAGAAAAAGTGACAGAGCCTTGAAAGAGTGACAGAGACACTTTTTATGAACTCATCTGTAATGTGTCACCTTTTCTGTAGGATGAAGAAGTGCTTCCCTTCTTTTAAAGTAAATACAGGCTTACAAAGATCCTCTAAACATGTTTCTGAAATAATCCTAAACACAATCATTAAATCAAAAATGCAAGAAACTATTTATTTAATCACTCTTCTTAACTTAATTCCTTAACTTAGTAAAAAATAGACAAGAACTTTTCTGCTGTCTCACCTCTGTCAGTTTTCATGCTGTTGCAAGAACAGGTGGAGGTGCAGGTGGAACTCTGACTTCACTGTGGTTTGTATGTGCAGGCAGGAGTGTGACATCTCAGAACAGCAGAGGGTTGTCGAGCACGGTGACTCCTGCTGCGACGCCCCCGTCTGACTGTCCTGAGCTCTTGGTCCTCAGCAGACGGCCCACACACTCATTCATCACCATGTCTTTACCCTGCCTGTAAGAAAACCAAGACAAGGCTAACATTAGAAACAGCCACCAACCAATCCCTTTTACTCCACCACCCAAAAACCAGTGAGAAACACTAGCTAGTATTAACTTGGAATCAAAGTGCACTAATCCCCAGGCTCCCAGCATAACATACAGTCCAACACAAACTCCACAAACTGTCTTGCTTCAGCTGACTTTCCTTCACCTTCTCTCCAGACAATCTGTTGTGCTCTTTTCAGCACAAAGCCACACTCCTGCTCACTGATCCTCACCTCTTTTTAACCTAGTCTCAGCAACTTTGTCCCATAGCTCGCACATCCTTTCCACCTCCATCTTTCTTCCCAGCCAACTGATACATACCTTTTCTCCTTCCTTAAAAGCCAGCCTAAGAAATACCATTTTATAAACGCCCCATAAATGAAACTGCCATTTTCAAAAATCGTATCATCCAAATTCATGCAGCGTGGCTAAATTAAGAATGAATTACAAACCCGAGCTTCCTTGCTAACATGAGTAACAGCTAAATACTATCATAGTGGAGTGTAAAATTACTGCTAAAATAGCTCATATGAACCCTGATACTGGACTTTGTATTTATCAAAACAAATGATCTGATATTACAAAGAAAACTAATGATTGCTTTTTACAGTATTAGCCCAGAGTGATGTAAGGCAGGGTGGTTAGTCAGCCATAACCTGCTGACAACTTGTATCTGGTAGCTTTTTCACATCCTGATCAATGTTGTTGTCAAGTGTGTCTCATATACACTATTATCTCAGTCACAGTACAGCATGCATGAATCACAGTAGATACACAGTAACGCAAAACAGCAGGCAGTCATGTATGTGTCGTCACTGTTTTGACTGAGGCTAGCTCATACATGGAATGCAAGAAAATGCTGCATGTGTGTGCAGATCCACACATGCACTGCTTAAACTTCCCTAGTTTAACAAATGGTGAGCAACAAACAGAAGTTTTCAACATGTTTAAAGATGCTTCTATCCCCCCGCTGTACCTCCTCCTTCTCGCTGAGACTTCAAGACAAACCGTTCTGCTGCTGACAAGGCCACTGATACTGTTTTGTCCCTCTCTGGACCCTGTAGACGAGCGCAACCACAGAGAAATAAATCAGAGGAATAAAATGCAAATGATATTGCTTACACTGAACAGCAACACCCAGGTGAGGATTATCTAATGCCAAATTTTCCAAACAATGAACAAACCGTGCCCTTTGTCTCACCATGTCTAGAGTGTAGAGGTCAGCCAATGTCGCTCGGATCTGCTGCACAGCTTGAGGCTGGTCTGGGAAGAATCTGTCCAGGACTCCAGGTCTGGGGAGCACTTGCTGAACCTTCTTGGTACCAGCCAGGTGAGCGCTGATATCTGGACACTTCACAGCTCGAGAGCGCTCCATGAGGAGACGAGCATCCCAGCTCTGCAATGGAAAACAGACAATGAATTCTCTGCTTTTTATCATTAGATGTATTTCTGTATTAAAAAATTCCGTTTATTGGGCCACTTTGTGCTAGAAGAATTTTTCCAGCATAAAATAGCCTCTATCATTTCACTAACTAACTTATTTCACTGCTGCTAATGACGTTTCACAAACTGTCACAGGTTTTTTAGCTTCGTTCGTATAAACTTTCTTGTGGTTGAGATTCCCGAGAAAACAGCCAGCACACTGAGCAGCAGAGGGTGACAACAGTTGGTTTATAATACGCTGAGATTTGACAGACAGAGACAGAAGAATGAAGGAGAACAACACAGAGTCACGCTATCAAGGAGAACCTGGACGGTAGATTCAGCAGTTTGGCTTGAAGCTTGCAAACTGTTTTAACTTGTTATGTCCGATTAAGTTTTCCTTCCAGGATGCTCGCCAGTTTTCTTTCACTTGTTTCCTGCCAGCAGAATGCACACACAGCTGCAGTAACTACACACAATGTTGCAGAAAACATGGAGCAGCAACAAACATGTGTTGGTCTCTAATCACCCATTCAAACTCACACAGCGACAGGTCTGTGGTCACTTATATCAGCCAATCAGGGCTAGACTTGGTGTTGCTTAGCAGGGAAAGAAATAAACTCAATGATAATGACGCTCCAGTTTCTCATGAATACGAATCACTTTAAGCAAGTCTGCAGGTTTCATTTAGTGTTTTTAACTAAACTCTTTGATGTAATCATTCTGAGTGCAAATCAAAAGTTGGACCTGTTCAGAAGTGTAGTTGTCGGGCATGTAACCGTTCCTGAAACACGCCACAGTTTGCCGTCCCTGAAGTGAAAGTGACACAAAAGACACAATCCATGTCGACACACAGCGACCTCCATCTCCTCTTCATCCAGTTTGGAGGCCTTCCTTGAAGTCTCTCGTGCTGCTGTCCACTGGGAATCCCCACATGTGCCTCTTCCCCGTGTCTACGACATGTAACAAATATAATAAAATAGCAAGAAATTATAAAGTAAATGACAAGATTTTCCATTTACTCTAATTTAACAGTAGTCATCTTGCAGAAGACAGTCGTTTGGTTACTATAGTAAAAACTATTATGTCAAATTAACCAAAATGAAAAACAAAATCACCTAAACTTGCATTTTTCACTGCCTTCTGTAAAGTGTCAACAAATGCAGACATTTTGCTGTCTTCAGCAACAAAAACGCCATCATTTTTCCTTCTATTAGTCCCACATGTGATTGCTGTAAACTTGGAGAAGGCTCTCTCACTCATTTATGTTGGACTTGCCCCAAATTGCATAACTATTGGTTGGACATTTTAAATGTTTTTCGATATCTACAATTGCACATTAGAGCCGGACCCAATAACTGCATTGTTTGGATCTTCCTCTTCCCTTTTACACCTCAGCTCTGCTGCACAAACTACATTTTTGTTCAGGATGGTAATTGCTAAGAAAATGATCTTGACTCTCTGGAAGTCGGATATTGTAGCTCAATTCAAAATGTGGCTAACAGAACTGACTGCTCTGTTGCACATGGAGAGGATTAGGTACACATCAGCGGACAAACTTAGTCATTTCTTTGATGTGTGGCAGCCATTTTTAGATCACGTATTAAAACAAAGTTCTCTTTGATCGATCGCAAATAATTCAGCGTACCACCTCAGCGTTTTATTTCTGTTTATTGCCGGTGCTGAAGTAGTATTTTTGTTGGGGGGGGGAGGGGAGGGCGGGGGGGGCTTTTTTTTGTTCTTTTCGTGTTATATCATCAAAAATCTCAATAAACATACTTAAAAAAAATAAACGCAGCATCTTCAAAAGTCAATGCAGCCAGACTCACAGCTGATTCTAAATGTTCAGGAGACACTGTTGAATGTTTAGTGTTAACTTAAATCACTCATCATTTACAGTATTACAGAGTTCGGGGTTATGGGTTAGCACTATCATGTTACCCGTAACTGTATTAACTATGGTAGTAACTTAACTAGCAGTGTTGGTCAAATTACTTGAAAAAAGTAATCAGTAACTATTATTGATTACTTCCCCCAAAAAGTAATCCCGTTACGTTACTGATTACTTATTTTCAAAAGTAATTAATTACTTAGTTACTTTTAAAACGATTTACAACCTGAATAGGTGATAAAGCGATAGATCTTTCAGCCCAATTCTACTTTTTCTGCATAATCCATCATACAAAATGTAATCAAATGGAAAAGTCTTTTTTAAAACTTGTTTTATTAGTTTTAATCTTTTAACTTTATGCATCAAGCAAAAATTAAATTATATGCAACATTCTGACTGGAAGAAATTTGTTTAACATTTAAACCTATTTTCTGCACATTCCAGCACATAAAATATTTTTTTGTGTTTACACTCACTCTTTCAAATAAATGCAAGTGAAACACAGCAGAAAATAAATAAAATCAAAGACTCAGCGGTCCTGTTGCTCTATTTTCACCTGTATAGCAGGCAGATGTTTGCTGGATTTCTTACCTGTAAACAGGTGATAAAAGCTTGTGCAGGAAGTAGCAGGTGTAGACTGGCCCATAGCACTGTATGAAGTGATAAGATGTGAAAGGACATATATAGGGTACCTTAAAGGGCGCCTTAAAAGTGTATCCCTGAGCTTTTACTTGTGGCTTGAAATCTAAATAAATCGAAATAAATGTGAATTTAAAAAAACAAAAAAGGAGGAGCCCGGAGCTTCGTCTTTCGCTCGGCCTACCCTGCAGTAGCAGACGAACCGTCAGAGACTCGAACTTGGTCGTTAAACTCTGGGGTCTAAATGCTGGCCTCTTTACGCTGCGCACCACACAGCCGGCCAGTTAATGCTATAAAAAAAAGGACATTTATCTTTTGTTCTTCAACAATTTTTTTTTCGTTTTTCTAAATCTATTTAGCTTCTTGTGCAGTATTGTTCCAAACAAATGACACAAGGAAACCTAGCTATTTTTTATTGGCTTTCACAAAATGGGACTGCCAATGTTGTAGGTGTTACTGCCAAAGTCTTCCTGCTAGCCGGAAACCTGCTGGCGGTGCCACTATGTTCTCAGCACACTCTTCAGCTTCAGCTTTGTTGCCTCTTTTCGGCACACCTACCTAGTCCCACTCATCCACTTTATCTGCTCATGGCAGATTTACCCACACTGAGCACTCCTTGGATTAAGGTAAATTGAAGCAGGTGATTATAAAAAAGACACACAGCTTATCATCTTATCCTTGTGCAACACCTAAAAGCACTCTGTTCATTTGTTTGCTAGATTAGCCGCTAGCATACACACACTGTGTTAGCGGCTTGTTGCTACACACCTGTTACTGTGTATTTTTCAATGATTCAGCACTCCTTGGATTTTTAGACAGTAATGAGATCATGTGCACACTCCACAGAGGTCCAGAGTCCAAATGTGACCTCTAGCACCAAACGCTTGCTGCAGTTGTTGGTGTCAGAGGTGACACACAAGGTATCAGGTTTTCTGTGCGATTACTTTTTCATATAGGACCAAGTATGTTTGGATAGCGTTTTGCCCTTGAAAACTGCCGTTGAATATTAGACATTGTTGTCTAATGTTATAAATGGATTGATTTTAATTGTTTGTTAAATTTGTTTTTTTCGATCATATTGAGTATAGACGAATGCAACTGTGAGCTTTAGCGATTAGCCCGTTTCAACAGGACCATGATCCTGATGTGTGAGACAGCAGGGTGCTGCCATTGGTGTTGTAATGTGTGATTTAGTTCCTCCTAACATTTCAGTTTGCTTCCAGTATCTATCCTCTGTGATTACTGGCTCTACAGACAGATTTAGTAGAAGTGTGTGAGCTATTGGCTCAGTATAAAGGGTCAGTAGTGTTTTCATGTCACCTATCCATCCTCCATTTAGTCACCCAAAGCATGAAGTAAATACTCCTCACTTTTATTTATTTTTCTACATAATCACCATTTCACTCGCTGCATTTTTGCAGATGCTGTGGCAGTTTTACAATGCCCATGTCGTACCCGCTTGCTTGCGCCACACAATCACCTTCTGGACAAATATTCTTTCAACTTTAGGAACAGGTGGGAGTCACTGTTGGAGGCGTGGTCCTGCTCCTGAAATTCCGATACATAATCTCCAATAACTGGCTAAAAGAGTTCACTTCCAAATTTTAGGTCGTAGGTCTTGGAAAATTCTTATTATTATTATTAACTTGTAATTTAAATTTTGATTGAAAATGTACCGAAAACCACTACTGCCATCTGTATGACTACTTTAAGTGAAAGCGAATTTTAAGATAAAAGTAATGGATTTAATAGATAAAACAAATTGAATTTTCTTTGTGGTCTTGAGTCAGTATCATGAGGTTTGAGTGTGCTCTTGTGGCCTCTGGTGTTGCAGCTACAGATTTTCATTCCCAGTGCTCACTTTATTATCCATTCATCAGTGGATTCCCATTCATTTTCTATGGTGGTCCTTTTGACCGTGAACACCACAGATGTAACAAGGTTGATTAAAACATACAAAATTCAATGAAAGTGGTGATCATCACGTTTATATGTTCAAGTGCATAGTGTCCAGGATATCATCATCATCATCATCATCATCATCATCATCGTTTATTGATATAGCACTTTAAAAAACGCGCCAGGCAGACCAAAGTGCTGAACAATACAGAAACAAAGAAAAGCAAAACAGAGTATAAAATAATAAGGAAGGATGTCAGTTTCCCGCCGAGGTAAAAGCCAATCTGGACTTAAAGACCTGCACTGAAGACGCTGGTCTAATATGAAGAGGAAGGTTGTTCCAAAGCATCGGAGCCCAGGATATCATAATACCTTGAGGCAATCACATGTAAAACACAATATTTATGAGTGTTTTAAGTTGTAAATCATTCAGATTTGACCCAAACATGACAGGAAGGCTAGCAATCTAGGGAAACAGAACAAAGGAGCACACAGCATTGAGAGTGGATGTGACAAATGACAAGCAGCGACTCGGATAATAAACAAACACCTGGTAATGAGGGAAGGAAGTGGCACAAAATACAAAGCAACAGAGACAAGAGACCATTGAAATAAAACAGGAAATGACAAACACAGAGACACAAACACAAACCTAATGACTAAGCAAATAACTAGCATTTAAAATAACAGAGACTAAAGAAAAGACACTGATAAACAAAAGTCCATAAATGCTGTCAGGAAAAGCAGGACTCAACTGCAGGACTTCTTAATCAAATCAAAGACAGTGAGATTATTTACAAGGTGCAATAAAAACAGTTTCATAATGTGACATCCACATTTGTGTTAATCCCACTCTAACGCCCACACCGGCTCGGACAGTCTCGGTCGTTGTGTCCTTGGACAAGACACTTCACCTACCGCCTACTGGTGTTGGCCAGAGGGGCTGATGGCGCGATATGGCAGCCTCGCTTCTGTCAGTCTGCCAAAGGGCAGCTGTGGCTACAACTGTAGCTGCCTCCACCAGTGTGTGAATGTGAGAGTGAATAAATAGTGGAATTGTAAAGTGCTTTGAGGGTCTCGAAAGCTATATAAATGCAATCCATTATTATTATTTAATTTCTAATTTATGAAAGGATGTCTGAAATCTAGGTGACCAACTACAAGCTTCACAGGTTTCCTGGACAGAAAGGAGAACATCTTCCAAAGAACAAAATGTCTTTAACTGTGACAGGGTTCACAAGTGTTCTTGTCATATCAACAATCCGGTGTTGATGGTAGAAAAAGCAGGTCGGTTGGCGAGACAGAGGGACTGATAAATGAGATACTGAACTGAATCCTTCAAGCCAGGGACATGAGGTCAACAATGTTATGTTCATGTTAATATATGAAAATACATTTCCTCGTTTGCACTTCTTTTAACACATTAAGAAGATAACAGACTCAAATAAGCATTGAAGCAATTAATTTGTATTGATAATTTTTAATAATCAAATTATTTGAACATCAATGGCACTGCTTGCTTGAGAGTAATCAGAATCTCTTGCAACATCGCCTCTTCTTAGAAAGCCATCCTTCTAGGTGTCACCTCTGGTTACAGCGTTTATGGGTCTTTGAGTTTAGTTCCTTTTCTGACTCTGAGTTTATTTATATTTCTGGTTCATGATTTCTTGCCTGTCTCACCTTGTGAGGCTCTGTCATGTCCTGTGCATATGTTTAACCACTCATATCTCTGTTAATTCGATATCCATCTAATTGGATGGATATGGCCCATTGTTTTCCTATTTGTGTCTCTCTCTGTGTCTCTCACTCTCTCCCTC